GTATGAGCTACGAGGAGAGACTACGAGAATTAAACCTCACTTCGTTGGAAGACAGAAGAGTTAGGGGGGACATGATCACCACATTCAAGATTCTCAAGGGAATCTACAGGGTTGATAAAGACAGGCTATTTAACACAAGGGGCACACGCACTAAAGGACACAGGTGGAAACTGAGTGCCCAAATGAGCCACAGAGATATTAGAAAGAACTTTTTTAGTGTCAGAGTGGTTGACAAATGGAATGCATTAGGAAGTAGTGTGGTGGAGGCAGACTCCATACACAGTTTCAAGTGTAGATATGATAGAGCCCAATAGGCTCAGGAACGTGTACACCTGTTGATTGACGGTTGAGAGGCGGGACCAAAGAGCCAGAGCTCAACCCCCGCAAGCACAACTAGGTGAGTACAACTAAGTGAGTACACACACACACACACACACACACACACACACACAGACATACATACATACATACATACATACATACATACATACATACATACATACATATATATATATATATATATATATATATATATATATATATATATATATATATATATATATATATATATATATATATATATATATATATATATATATATAATATATATATATATATATATATATATATATATATATATATATATATATATATATATATATATATATATATATATATATATATATATATATATATATATATATATATATATATATATATATATATATATATATATATATATATATATATATATATATATATATATATATATATATATATATATATATATATATATATATATATATATATATATATATATATATATATATATATATATATATATATATATATATATATATATATATATATATATATATATATATATATATATTTATATATATATATATATATATATTATATATATATATATATATATATATATATATATATATTATATATATATATATATATATATATATATATATATATATATATATATATATATATATATATATATATATATATATATATATATATATATATATATATATATATATATATATATATATATATATATATATATATATATATATATATATATATATATATATATATATATATATATATATATATATATATATATATATATATATATATATATATATATATATATATATATATATATATATATATATAAATATATATATATATATATATATATATATATATATATATATATATATATATATATATATATATATATATATATAGTCTCCGTGGCCGTAAGACTGATAAACAGTCTCCGTGGTGTAGTGGTAAGACACTCGCCTGGCATTCCGCGAGCGCTTTGTCATGGGTTCGTATCCTGGCCGGGGAGGATTTACTAGGCGCAAATCCTTAACTCTAGCCTCTGTTTAACGCAACAGTAAAATGTGTACTTGGATGAAAAAACGATTCTTCGCGGGCGGGGATCGTATTCCAGGGACGTGCCCGAAACGCTACGCGTACTAGTGGCTGTACAGGAATGTAACAACTCTTGTATATATCTCAAAAAAAAAAAAAAAAAAATATATATATATATATATATATATATATATATATATATATATATATATATATATATATTCGTACCTGGTAGCCAGAACGCACTACTCGGCCTACTATGCAAAGCAGGATTTGCCTAATAAGCCAAGTTTTCATGAATTAATTGTTTTTCGACTACCTAACCTAACCTAACTTTTTCGGCTACCTAACCTAACCTAACCTATTAAGATAGGTTAGGTTAGGTAGGGTTGGTTTGGTTCGGTCATATATCTACGTTAATTTTAACTCCAATAAAAAAATTGACCTTATACATAATGAAATGGGTAGTTTTATCATTTAATAAGAAAAATACTAGAGAAAATATATTAATTCAGGAAAACTTGGCTTATTAGGCAAATCGGGCCTTGCATAGTAGGCTGAGTACGAAGTTCTGGCTACTAGGTACAACATATGTCTATATATATATATATATATATATATATATATATATATATATATATATATATATATATATATATATATATATGTCGTACCTAATAGCCAGAACGCACTTATCAGCCTACTATTCAAGGCCCGATTTGCCTAATAAGCCAAGTTTTCATGAATTAATGTTTTTTCGTCTACCTAACCTACCTAACCTAACCTAACCTAGCTTTTTTTGGCTACCTAACCTAACCTTACCTATAAATATAGGTTAGGTTAGGTTAGGTAGGGTTGGTTAGGTTCGGTCATATATCTACGTTAATTTTAACTCCAATTAAAAAAAACTGACCTCATACATAGAGAAAAGGGTTGCTTTATCATTTCATAAGAAAAAAATTATAGTAAATATATTAATTCAGGAAAACTTGGCTTATTAGGCAAATCGGGCCTTGAATAGTAGGCTGAGAAGTGCGTTCTGGCTATTAGGTACGACATATATATATATATATATATATATATATATATATATATATATATATATATATATATATATTTTCGTACCTAGTAGCCAGAACGCACTTCTCAGCTTACTATGCAAGGCCCGATTTGCCTAATAAGCCAAGTTTTCATGATATAATTGTTTTTCGACTACCTAACCTACCTAACCTAACCTAACCTAACTTTTTCGGCTACCTAACCTAACCTAACCTATAGAGATAGGTTAGGTTAGGTAGGGTTGGTTAGGTTCGGTCATATATCTACGTTAATTTTAACTCCAATAAAAAAAATGACCTCATACATAATGAAATAGGTAGCTTTATCATTTCATAAGAAAAAAATTAGAGAAAATATATTAATTCAGGAAAACTTGGCTTATTAGGCAAATCGGGCCTTGCATAGTAGGCTGAGAAGTGCGTTCTGGCTACTAGGTACGACATATGTATATATATATATATATATATATATATATATATATATATATATATATATATATATATTATATATATATATATATATATATATATATATATTTGGTCGAATATACAGAAGTACGCAGAAGTACTTTGTACAGAGTACTTTGGCGAGCAATGGTGTGAGTTGAGTGCACTGAGCGTCGGTACAGTATCTTACAAGTATCTGTTCTAGACCACACTTGAAAGTAGACTTGTTATTGTTCGATTGTTTGATGAAGATTAAGCCACCCAAAAGGTGGCACGGGTATGAGTAGCCCGTAAGTGGTGGCCCTTTTGAGCCATTACCTGTATCAATAGATGATACTGGAGATCTGTGGAGGTGCGGCTGCACCCTGTGTGACGGGAGATGTCTCCCTGACCAAATGGTCAGTTATTATTCGCCCCTCTGCTGTTTGTATGATCGGGCAACACCTCACCGTTCTCCAAAGGTTGACAGGAGTAGTATGTGAAAGTTGGGAAAGGTTTGAGTTCCATAATTAGTACCAAGAAGAGCTTTGCTTCTCTCATGAGGCTAATGCGTAATGTAGCGAGTATATTATTGGGATAATCTACTCGCTACAAAATAAATATATATATTATATAGAATAGTGCAGCAGCACATTGCTGTGTATACCTAATTTTGCTAGGAAAAAATAAAAAGGTCGTATTCCAAGGAAAATTGGGATTAGGGATTTGCCCCAAACGCTATGCGTGCTTGTGGCTTTACAAGAATGTAGGAACTCTTGCATGTATAAATAAAAAACAAAAAAATTATTGTTATAATTATTGTTATTATTATTATTAATTATGTAAACTTTCCGAATCATAAATATGCAATAATTTGTGAATAAAGGTTTTGTTTTGACTAGGACAATAAGCGTCCGCCGCCATTACAAAAATAAACAAACACAGCTCGGTGTCTTGATCGTCATCGCCCTCATTCAACGACATAATTACACACTTGTACGAGTTTCCACGCATCGGCATTAAGGGAAAACCTACACGCAAACTGCACCTATCATAAAGATGGAGCAGCAGCACTGATACGCTAAGTGCTCACATCAAGTTTAACTTGACTCAATATTCAACCCTTGTCGAACCGTCAACATTGACGCTCCACCCTGTCGAGTTTCCTAATAAACCCTTCATTCAAACTGCACCTACCATCAAGTAGAAGAATTTCCTTCCACCACCACTCGTGCAGCCATCCAGAGGTAAAAATCTTCACACTGAATATATAGAAGAACAGCGCTATTGACCGCCAAGTGCTCATCAAGTTGAACTCTTAAGAAACAACCCTCAAACATTTCATAACCGCCAACATTGACTCCACAGTGACGCGCTTCCCACCATCACCACTGGTGCAGCCATCCTCAGGAATAAACCTTCAAAACCACCTATTATAATAAGAAGATGAAAACTCATGAGTGTCCAGAGTGTGGGAAGAAATTTAGTCAGTTCGGAAATATGAAAACTCACATGTTAGTGCATTCAGGTGACAAGCCTCACGAGTGTCCCGAATGCGGGAAGAAGTTCAGTCATCTAGGAAATATGAAGACTCACATGTTAGTGCATTCGGGTGACAAACCTCACAAGTGTCCAGTGTGTGGGAATAGATTCAGTTTGCTTGGCAATATGAAGACTCACATGTTAGTGCACTTGGATGTTAAACCTTATGAGTGTTCTGAGTGTGGGAAGAGGTTCAGTCGTCATGGAAGTATGAAAAATCACTTGTTAGTGCACTCAGGTGACAAACCTCATGAGTGTCTAGAGTGTGGGAAGAAATTCAGTCGTCTTGATCATATGAAGACTCACATGCTTGTACATTCGGGTGACAAACCTCACAAGTGTTCAGAGTGTGGAAAGAAGTTTAGTCATCTTGGAAATATGAAGACTCACATGTTAGTACATTCAGGTGACAAACTTCACGAGTGTCCAGAGTGTGGGAAGAGATTCAATCGTCTTGACCATATGAAGACTCATATGTTAATGCATTCAAGGGAACGACCTTTTGAGTGCACTGAGTGTGGCAGAAAATTTAGAGAAGGGACATCTTTAATAATGCACATGTTAGTGCATATGGGGGATCAACCTCACATTTGTCCAGAGTGTGGGATGAGGTTCAGTTATCTTGAAAGTATGCAGACTCACATGTTAGTTCATTTAGTCAACAAACCTCATGAGTGTCAGGAGTGTGGGATGAAATTCAGTGACGCTGGAGATTTGAAAACTCACAGAATGGTGCATACGGATGATAAGCTAAAAATTGAAAATGAGTGTCAGGAGTATGGGATGAAATTCAGTGACGCTGGAGATTTGAAAACTCACAGAATGGTGCATACGGATGATAAGCTAAAAATTGAAAATGAGTGTCAGGAGTGTGGGATGAAATTCAGTGACGCTGGAGATTTGAAAACTCACAGAATGGTGCATACGGATGATAAGCTAAAAATTGAAAATGTGGTAGAAGATTCAGAGAATGTTTAAATGTAATATGGCACATTTCCATTATTTGTATAAATAATTGGGAAATTGTTGACTTCATCTCGGGGACACTAAGCCCCCGAAATCATCTCAAGATAACCTCAAGATAAACCCATCTTGAAAATATCATGCTATCACCTTCTCAGCTGGATGTCCTTCAAAGGGGTTTTTCTTCTATTTTGCATGAGAAATATGCAAATTCATACTGCAGCACAAGGTATTGAGGTTTATTTTAATATTTTGTTTTTTTATGTAAGATTGAATTTCCTCATAGACCAAGCAGGCACCAGGGAGCTGCCAGTGTAGCAGTGTAGTAAAACTGCAAATTGTGTATAGTTAAAGTATTTTTGTTTTTTAACCAAGCAAGATAACAAAGTTTTGTGTTTTCTTTTGCATTTTTATCTGAATAATAATAATAATGTACTTTCCATTCAGGTTCTCTTAACCCTTAGGCAGCAATCATCATTATATGTTGATTCATGCAGTAGTCTTCATATGATGATTTAAACAAATTTTGTCTGGGGTTTTACACGTATGATGCAAATAAGGATAATAGGTCTATGTGGATGTAATGGAGTTTACCTTGTCCCTTGAAAAAGTCTTGTTCTCATTAGTTTCTAATAAATGCTGTTACTCATTAGATACTAGGTGAATGTGGCTATCGTCATATGACGATTTATATAATTATTGCCTGGGCTTTACATGTATGATGCAAATAATGATATAATAGATCTATGTGGATGTAATACAGTTTACTATGACCCCTTGTTAAAAATTCTGCTCTCATCAGTTACCAGTAAATCTTGTTTCTCATTTAAGGGTCCTAGTAGTACAGTTGGGTTTGTTCTCGACTCACAATCGAGAATTCCGGGTTCAAATCCCGGTGGGACAGAAATACAGTAGTTGGGCCCATTTCCTATCACCTAATAATAATAATATTTTAATAATATTTTATTTAAAAGAAGGTACAATGGGTTGGTGAGATTACATTTGAGTGATGTTTTTATATTCTTGCAAAGCCACTAACACGCATAGCATTTTGGGCAAATTGCCCATGCCTGTTCACCTAGCAGCAAGTAGGTACCCAGGAATTAGTCAGCTTGTTATTGGGTTACATCCTGGGGAATCTATAATTTGACCTCATGAGGGGGAAAGGACCCTCAATACAAGCCCAACTTGTATAAACATACTCTGGTTGCCTGTTCTCCAACAATGAATTATTACTTACTAGGTGAGTGCGGTTATTGTCATCTTCTTGAGGTTATCTTGAGATGATTTCGGGGCTTTTTAGTGTCCCCGCGGCCCGGTCTTCGACCAGGCCTCCACCCCCAGGAAGCAGCCTGTGACAGCTGACTAACTCCCAGGTACCTATTTACTGCTAGGTAACAGGGGCATTCAGGGTGAAAGAAACTTTGCCCATTTGTTTCTGCCTCGTGCGGGAATCGAACCCGCGCCACAGAATTACGAGTCCTGCGCGCTATCCACCAGGCTACGAGGCCCCATATGACAATTATCATCTGTGGGTGCACACTGGTGGCTTACGTCTTTGTTTCAATCTATACTCTCACTCGTATGGTGCCGATTAGGTCATGTTTCATCTCCCAAAGTCTAACACCATTAATAATGATATTCATATACAGTATTTTTCACTACTGGTTGTAATGGAGTATACCAGGTAAACCAATCATCAATTGAAACATTATCATGTATTATGTGATTTATCCAGTTATTCAACACACATTCATGTAAATATAGGGAAACAAATGGTGAAACATTGGAGGATAACACAGGTTATCAAATTCGAGAACGAAGCGTCAACAGGTGCCTGACACAGCCACTACCCATCCTTCTAGAATGCTTCCATCCCTATAAAATTAAAAATATTCGCATATGTTCATGTTTTTCTTACATTCATGCAAATTAATAATTCTATAATGAAAGATTATTTTGGGGATTTTTTTATATTTTTTGTGCATAGGTGGATATAACCATTTTCCATAGCCGCTGCCCAAGGGTTAAGAAATTATTTATAAAAATAGTATAATATCTGTTTGCTAACTTAGGCGACATTTTTATTTGTAATAATCATATTAAGTGTTGGAGCAGGGAGTAGAAAACAGTTTCAAATGTGCTCAAAATCAGACCATTTTATTGAAAACAATTATATCAATTCAGTATTCATACTACATGATTTCCATGTCTATACATTATTTATGACTATTTTGTAGTTTTCACTACTCTTGGTAAGAAGCATCAAAGTGATTTTCATGACTGACTTACATAAATCACTTCAGAATTTATATTATATATTGGAATTAATTTGAACTTGACTCTTATTATTTACATTTGCCATTCAGACATATTTATTAGTCTAGTCTAGCTGCAGTATTTATATTGATCTGACTGGCATATATATATATGCTAAACTAGATGTGGATAAAATGACCTTGGTAATTATATTAAAATGTCAAAAATATGTATTGTCAAACTAAAACAGGCTATATGAGTCTGACTGGCAATTACATTAGCCTAGCCTTTGTAATTATATTAGCCTGACTGGCACTTACATTTTCCTGTCTAGCAATCATATTAGCCTTTCTAGCAGTGATATTAGCCTCACCCTTGTAATTATCTTAGCCTGACTGGCATTATTTTATCTTGATGAGGAATTATAATAGCCTAGCCCTTGTAATGATATTATCCTGACTAGCAATTATATTAGCATGACTGGCAATTATATTTTCCTGGGTAACAATTATATTATCCTGACTAGCAATTATATTTGCATGACTGACAATTATATTAGCCTGAATTTGGCAATTATATTAACCTGAATCTTGCACTTTTTAAACCAGTATTTTGCATCTATATTAACCTGACTAAAATTTATATTATTGTGTGGAGTAGTTTATTCAAGTTACATAGCCTAGGCCTAATTAGTGCTAGTATGCATAATTGGTATGTTTGATTATTATAGGTCTGTTAGCAGGTATAGGAGTAGTTTATATATGATAAAAACAAATATAAAGACAAAACAATCTATATTGTTTTGATTTGTTGTTTAATTTCTTGTTGTCTTGATGTATGTGAATGATGTGGTTAGAATATATTTAACCTCTATCATTAGTTTATATTATTTATAGATTGAATAAGGTGGAATAATTTGCTCTTACTTATAACATGTTAATTATTGTGGTAACATTCAAGGTTACCATCCACTGACTAACTAAGAGTATTATAGAAACATACTTGACAATTGTCTCAACATTCAAGGTCACTGTCCAATTACTGTAATTAAAGTGTTATTTTAATTTGCACATAAATGGGTTTCATGTAACATTGTTTATTTATCATGTGTGAGTTCTTCAGTATGTCATTCAGAATATTTAAGCCCAATTTCTAGTTATTACGGCAATTTGGGAAGCAACAAAGATAATTAAAACATAGATCAGAAAGTAATTACAGTACAGGCAGTTCCCCAATTACGAACGAGTTACATTCTGAGTCGGCGTTTGTAAAACATTTGTTCGAAACATGGATTAAGATTTTCCATAGGTGCAATGCTATAAGTGGAATATGCATGTCCAGACCATCAAAAATTCTCACAAAACCAATATTTTTGGGACATACAGTATAATAAAAAAAAATTTTTTACCTTGAATGATGGGGTTATCTTGCTTGTCAAAGTTAGCTGTGTTTGAAAGTGAAGTGGTATAATTACTTGAATAAATTAAATGAAAATACATGTGCATTGTATTGATTATCTTAAGATGATTTCGGGGCTTAGTGTCCCCGCGGCCCGGTCCTTGACCAGGCCTCCACCCTCAGGAAGCAGCCCGTGACAGCTGACTAACTCCAAGGTACCTATTTACTGGTAGGTAACAGGAACATCAGGGTGAAAGAAACTCTGCCCATTGTTTCTCGCCGGCGCCCGGGATCGAACCCGGGACCACAGGATCACGAGTCCAGCGTTATTTATTTATTTATACAAGTTATTTATTTATTTATACAAGAGTTAATACATTCTTGTATAGCCACTATTATGTGTGGCATTTCAGGCAATTCTTTAATCCTATGTTCCCGGAATACGACCCCGCAAAAAATCGTTCAATAACCAGGTACCCATTTTACTGTTGAGTTAAACAGTGGCTACAGTTAAGGATTTACACCCAGTAAATCCTCCCCGGCCAGGATACGAGCCCAGGACAAAACGCTTGCGAAACGCCAGACGACCGTCTTAACCACTGCACCACAGGGACTGGTAAACATGTGCTTTATCTGAAGTGGTATAATTACTTTAATAAATAAATGAAAAGGCATGTGCACTGTATTGATGGTCTGCCATTTTGTAATAGGCCTCGGGAGTATATGCTTCCATGTGGCTGCTGCACGGACGTTCGCACTGACGCAAAATTCAAAGGGACACTCCAGTGAATTAGTACAATGATTTTATGCATGAAGGGGGTACATGGGAGAACTGAGAGAATGTTCATATAGACAAATGCCCCACAAGTGTGGGAAAAGATTTAGTCATCTTGACACTATGAAGCCTCACATGATGGAGCATATTGGTGATAATCCTTAGCAGTGTCCCACCTGAGAGAGGAAAAGTGATTCATGTGGAAGATTTGAAGGCACACTGGAAGGTGCATAGGGATGATAAGCTTCATGTGTGTCCTGAATGGGAGAAAATATTTAAGCTTCGCAATCATATGGGAAGGTACAAACTAGTGGATTTAATTATTCAAGTGATAAAACTCACATGGTCTAGTGTCCTGTCTTCTAGAAAAAGGTCTTAGTAACCAGTTTAATTGTATAAGCTACTAGAATATTCATAATTAATTTTAATGGCACCAGATTGTGTTTATTTGATCTTGTGAATGCTATTCATTTTGGTGGTATCAGATGTTATGCATTTCAAGATTATCTTCTCATTTTTTTTTTTTTTTTTTTTTTTTGAGATATATACAAGAGTTGTTACATTCTTGTACAGCCACTAGTAC